TTCGATTATTTAGTAGTGTTTGGTGTCAATATATATGTTTTCGGGATCGCAGGTTCCAATTTTGACATTTTTGATAATCACATAATCACATAATTGGCATACATGTATTCCAAAGATGACGGCCATTTTGGGTGAGACAATGGGACGATGTGCAGATTATGATTAAGTAGTAGTGTTTGGTGTCAATATATATGTTTTCGGGGTTGTAAATTCTATTTCTGACATTTACTACCTTGAAATTGATAACATGTTCACATACTTAGCGTATTTCCGGGATGGCTGTCATTTTTTGGCGGGAAATGGGACGAAGTGCAGATTTTGATTTAGCAGTAGTGTTTGGTGTCAATGTATACTCAGCCAAATTAAAAACTTGACACTGATGAATTTCAACAAAAAATTTTTTTCTGGTAAGTCAAATAAATTTTAAAGTGTTTCTAACGATAGTAAGTAGTAAGAAGCCTTTCATTTCATAAAATTGTATATAAAGATGAAAAACCTGAAAAACACGTGTAAACACAAACTCGTGAGGTCAATCGATGCAAGTTTGCTTAAACTGAACACGCACACGTAACTTGAACTGGAAAAACAAATTAAAATTGTTTTTTCATCTTTGTTAGAAAATGCCGCGCCTTTCAAATGTAGAACGTCGACGTGCTATAGGTAGGCTCTATGCTGGTCAGTCTGTGGTCACTGTTGCAAGAGCCTTTAATTGTTCACGCCAGACAATAATTAATCTTAGAATGAGAGTGCTTCAAACTGGAACTATTGCCGACCGCCCAAGGGCGGGAGGAGTGCCACGTGTGACGTCACTCCAGGAAGATCAAGCAATACGATTACGTCATCTTAGAAACAGATTTGTCACTGCAACCTCCACAAGTAGAGAGATGTTTGGTGGAAGGGTAACTGCACAAACTGTTCGAAATCGCTTGCAGGCTGCTGGTCTTCGAGCTCGGAGGCCCTATAATGGACCAATATTGACACCTCTTCATCGCCGTAACCGACTTGTGTGGGCCACAAGACACATAAGATTTACTCAAAGACAGTGGAATTCGATTGTCTTTAGTGACGAATCTCGATTCACTTTGAGATTTGCCGATGGCAGGGTCTGAGTGTACCGCAGACGAGGTGAACGCTACGCGCAAGTATGCATCAGAGAAGTTGACCGATGTGATGGCGGCAGCGTCATGGTTTGGGGTTCTTTGTGTGCACATGGACGTTCTCTTTTGTTGTTGTCCAAGGGAACTTAAATGCTCGCCAGTACAGGGATCAGATTTTGCAACCTGTTCTTCTTCCGTTTATGCAGAGACATGGGCCTGGACTAACGTTTCAACAAGACAATGCTCGACCCCATACAGCAATTGCTACCCAGAATTTTTTAAGAAATGTCGGTGTCCAAGTCCTGGATTGGCCGTCGCTTAGCCCCGACCTTAATCCTATTGAACACATCTGGGAAGAACTGGGTCGACGTGTTCGTCAGCAAGTGAATCCACCACTGACGTTGCAGGACCTTCAACATGCTCTTGCTGAGCAGTGGCGACGTCTTCCTCGGGTAGTGTTTACTAATGTTCTGAGATCCATGAGAAGACGTTGTGTGGCAGTACGAGACGCTAGAGGAGGCCATAACCGTTACTAAACACTTTATTCCGGTTGTTCTCCAAGTCTGCGAATTTCTTTTTGGGGGGTACAGTGACTTCACGAACGTTTTCAATGTCAAGGACTTTCGGCGAGACGTATTCTTGCTTTCTGTTGATGTCAAGGTCGTCTGTGCACAACATAACACTAAAATAGTTGCCTTAAAACAAATATTAAAAATCTAGTTCCCAAAAACCCGAGTGTCAAATATATATGTTTTCGGGGGCGCAGATTCCATTTCTGACATTTACAACCCTGTAAAATAATCACATTCACATATTTAGCCTATTTCCAATATTGCTGCCACACATGGCGGGAAAATCGGACGATGTGCTGATTTCTATTAAGTAGTCGTCTTTGGTGTCAATATATACTCTTCAAAAAAAAGTAGGATACTTTCAGAAACAATACAAAACTGTGGAAATGCACTGCTGTTTTTATTAGAGGTAAGCAGTGTATGTTAATAACAGACCAATTGCCTACACATAAACATAAACAGTTCATATGGTCGGCTTATCTGACGGCCCCATTTCACTCGCAAAGCGATACACCGTCAAAAGTGAAAATGGACGTTTTTGATTTTTGTCTTAATAATGAGTAATTGCTCCACCAATCCTCAGACATTCAGCAATTCGTCGTGGCATGCTCCTAATCAACCGCCCAATCACGATTTGGGACAAACTGACCCACTCCTCTTGCAGTGCCACGGCAAATTCTTGCAGTGTTGTCGTTTGACGTTGACTCGACGAACACGTCTCCCGATCAAATTAAACGTAACACACTAAAGCAAAGATACGCTAAACAGTAAATCTTATGCAAGAACCGATAGGAAAGCAAACCTAGATAGATAAACCAGCACGACAATGGATTCCAGGAACATGCGCCTCGAAATAGGATTGTTTACACCAAAGACAACTACTTAATCAATATCAGCACATCGTCCCATTCACCTGCCAAAAATGGCCACCATATTGGAAATATGCAAAATCGGAGAATATGTGATCATTTTACACAGTTGTAACTGGAAGAAATGGAATCTGTGCCCCTGAAAAGATATATATTGGCACCAAAGACGACCACTTAATAAATATCAGCACATCGTCCTATTGTCCCGCCAAAAATGGACGCCATCTTAGAAATCTGCAAAATAGGTCTACGTGTGATCATTTTACACAGTTATAACTGGCAGAAATGGAATCTGTGCCTCCGAAAACCTATTTATTGACACCAAACACTACTACTTAATCGAAATAAGTACATCGTCCGATTTTCCTGCCAAAAATGATCGCCATCTTGAAAATATCTTTATGAAGTGATGGAGAAAAAATCTGAAATATTATCACGACCCCTGCCAATATTAATACATTGCCAAATCACACTTGATATGTCAATAACATTATAAGTAAGGTGAAAATAAAAAAAAATAACTTGGAATATTATCGCAAAATGGCTACCCTCAAATAATGGCCTCCCATACCATGAAGACCTACCCAGACCTATATCAGCACATCGCCCCATTTCCCTGCCAAAAATGGCCACCATCATGGAAATATGCAAAACAGGTGAATATGTGATCATTTTACACAGTTGTAACTGGAAGAAATGGAATCTGTGCCCCTGAAAAGATATATATTGGCACCAAAGACGACGACTTAATAAATATCAGCACATCGTCCCATTTTCCCGACAAAAATGGACCTCATTTTTGAAATCTGCAACATAGATCTGTATGTGATCATTTTACACAGTTGTAACTGGTAGAAATGGAATCTGTGCCCCTGAAAACATAATTATTTATTGGCACCAAACTCTACTACTTAATCGAAATAAGCACATCGTTCAATTTTCCCGCCAAAAATGATCACCATCTTGGAAATATCTACATGAAGTGATGGAAAAAAATCTGAAATATTATCACGACCCCTGCCAATATTAATACATTGCCAAATCACACTTGATATGTCGATAACATTATGGCTACCCTCAAATACTATAAAGACCTACTCAGAAAAAATGTCAACATTGGTTTTTTATCATTAAACACCAAAACCTTCAGAATAAAGCTTATTCCGCGGATGGGAATTATGAAACAAACACAATCGGAGCAGGAACAATTTTGAAAGTGAAGGAGCTACGACTATAATATGTCATTGCTCCATGTCATCACTTTATCAACGAAGGATACCCTAAAATGCCGACCTCAGTCTTCATATCCTGGTTGGTGCAGAAACGTAAAACGCTAAACCCCATTTCATTTCACTTTATATCCGGTCTCAGCCTTTTTTTAGGGGTATTAAATATCTTATTGGTATCTTATATTTTTGAAATTCCATATTTATTTCCATGTACGCCCGATAGGTGGGAGAAGTAATGAGAGCGATAATCCTTACTATCCCGGCAATAATGGAACATCGTATGCTATTAAAACAGCCACTGAAGTTGAATTTAGACCAGGTTAGAAAATTGTTAACGATGCAGTATGTAAGATTTGGATATAGAACTATACTAATGTCCAAAAGAAAGTATACACTGTGCATTTCGTGCTGCATCAACCAAAGTCGTTTTCCATCGTATGCGGCATTTGGGTACAATGTCTTTTTGTTTCGCTTTTTTATTTTGCTTAGAAATGTTGAGTTTTGACGCAAGAGACAAAACTCAGTAATGTTTTATCAAATGTTTTTAATCTAAATAAAACTTAGTCGTATTTTTAGTGCGTATACTTTCTTTTGGACATTAGTATAGACCGATCTTACTGTAATAGTTGAAAAATGGATACTGAAAATTGAATATATTGAATATTTCATTCAGATTACTTTATTCTGAGCGAAGTTATGAGAGTGTTGGACGTTTTGACAAGATCGAGCGTAGATTGTTCATTATCGTAACAACGGTACCTGACAATCGGGTATAAGCCTCGATTATCTATTTAATCGTTATTTTTTTTAATCTTACGCGTGTTCTAGTCCATTTAAATCTACGCCAATCTATGGTCTAGAGAGTTGAATATACATGTCTAAATAATAATTTATGTAACTTTTAAAGCCAACACAAAGACCTGCAATAGATTCCTTTCACTGCTAAAGACCCATACGCACAAGCGAATTATTTAAATAAAATTGAACCATATATTATGTTAGTCCCGAAATGATCTAATTTGTGTCGAGTGGACATTAAACAACATCTCTCTCAGAAAGATTATTCGCGGCCAGTAAGGGACAACCGAGACTACTGTTATCAACAAGTCCAAGCACCTGGTTATAGTTAAATAATGGTACATATTATAGAATGCGTAATTAGATTATGCCTAAATAATATTTTCCTTTTATCATTCTGTATCTCTCAGGAATTGGAGCTGAAAGCGGATGGGTGGAAATAGTCCTACCAAAGTTTTGTCCGTGTACTTATTATTGTATATGGGATGACATTACATTAAATAAATACCATTGCCTATGTTCAAGCAATACAACATTAGATGCGGATGGAATTCACTGCATAGGTATGCCCTATTAAATTGCATTAAATGAGAATGGATAAAAAGTTATTTCTGAAATGACATTTTTTGACCATCCTACTAATTACTATCGGCATCATTTAGTCAGACCCAACAAAAACTGATTTTCAAAGTGTTTAACTTAACGGGAAAAATACAATTATTAATCTAAAATTTAATAGGTCTTGGATATTTGAAAATAAGTTGAGTTTGGAGTTATTTTGAATGTTATTATATAAAATGCAGCACATTTATATTCTTAGTGAGAGTGTTTAGGTCCCTTGGCCAAACAAAGACAGAGTCTATCCAATTCAATTATGAATGAAGTAATAGTCATTTGAAATTTACATTGGGGTTTTTAATCGATTTCGTGCTGTCACCTGTATTTTGCATAGGATTTTCCAACGAAAAGTGGTGTTAAATGAAGCTTATTCAGTTGAAAAGTGAATGAATTGTCCGAAGTTACTATATTCAAGCTGTAGGTTATATCACGCCTTTAATGTCTACTCCTGCAGTATCAAATATTTGAGATGATTTTCTTTTGCTCTCTTACAATCTACCATTTCCAGTGCATGCTGGGTTTTTTCTAAGAATCATCTCTTCAAATGCTTTAAAGATAAACACATGTGATAGGCCTACTTGTCCTAATAATTGTTTTATTTAGGGCTATTTCCTATTTGTGTCATCGTAATTGTTTTATTCATGGCTATTTTGTGGTGTATGAAAGTTGAAGAACGGGGAAAATTTTCTGGAAACAAAATTACCAGGAATTTATTTTCCATATTTTAAAATGGAATTTCTGTAAATTACAGAAAAAAACAAATACGGGTTAGATTTTCCTGGTAGTATTTCTTTGCCGAACTTTTAACGTTTTTTCAAGGGTTTTTTGTTACAGAGTATATTTGAGTGTTAAAATACGGCAGGGTTGTGTTCTGGAAATATAATTACCAGCAATTTATTTTCCGTATTTGAAAATGAAATTTCTGTAAATTACAGGAAAAACAAATACGGTAAAGATTTTTCTGGTAATAATTGTTTCCGGAACTTTTAACGTTTTTTCAAGGATTTGTTGTTACAGTGTGTATTTGAGTGTGATTTATTTGTTTAAAAAAATACGCCATAATTTGTATTGAATATTTTAAACAATTATTGTAATTTCTAATCATTTATTTTCAGTGCAATACGTGAACAGTTCAAATTGAACGACAGTCGTTTACGCCTGCTTGCTCCAAACATTATATTACTTATGTGTTTAATTTCTATTTTAGCTACATCATCGATGCGTCAAAAATCGTTTGCCATATCGTCAGTGGCTGGTCTTCAAATAGGTCAATGGATAGCCATCTTCCTTCCAGTTGCCATTCTAATAACATTAGTAACATGTCTTCTATTTGTATGTAAGTATATTTAAAGGGTGCGTGACTCTATGCTTTGGAACCTTAAGCTAGACGAGAATGGGTCTAATGGTTCATATTAATATAACATGAATGAATGCATACAAATCAATTTATATTCTATTTTCAAAACAATTATTATAATTCGTAATCAATTATGTTCGGTGAAAGATGTAAACAGCCCACATTGAACGACGGTTGTTTATGCCTGCTTCTATTCTGCAGGTCTTTTATTATTATTTTTGTCGTATGTGAATCACCAATTACGGATGACTTCCTCATTGTCTTACAAATGACACCCGATTCGTGTACTGATTATAAAATATTTATCGTGTCTTAAATATTGGATATTAGGATCCCATATTTTCATGGCAAGATGTCAACATCAATATTGATGGAAATGGGCCAATATGAAATTCTAATTCGTGTATTTAATTTCGACTATTATGGAAAATACTGAGTCAAACGTTTAGCTCTTTTAACCATATTGCACACAGGTTATTTTTTATAATTCAAATAGTAAGTGCAGAGAACTGCACCACACATAATTTACACATAACAAATCTACGGACAAGACACAATACGCAGAAATCACAAACAAACGTAAATATCAAATGAGGTGAATGGATCCGACGGCTAGTCGTAAGCGTCCACCGGGGTTTGTCATCTTTAGGTGTGGAATATAAACCAAATAAAACAGGTTCATTCACTTCAGTGCAACAACATTGCCTTAGTGACAATCTGTTCTACAGAGATAATGCAAACGCCCCTTTGCAACTCTGTGCAAGATGACTGAGCTTTATGTTCACGCACAGAAAGGTCTACGTGTGACGTCATATCATACAGCGTCGACAGCACGTACATTGTTTACATCGGCGGTGGTACCGACGTAGTAACATAGATTGGTCCGGGCAGAATTCGTGCCTTTTACTCATTTTACGCTTTAGCGTATTATTTTATGTATCCATTTACAATAAATAGGAAATATTTTTTATTTAGATATACTTCCAACGCATCGCTTAATACTTTAAATAATAAATACATTTTATACGATTAAAGCCCAAGGTCGAATGCCTTGTTATTAATTGTCACAGAGGATCGTACCGTCACGACAAGCCTGCGACACATAAACACATATCATAGCTACTCTATTATCAAAAACCTCCACACTGTCTATATCTCACTTACCGACTCACCATTCCAGATTAAAGGACATAATGTATACTGCAAAACTCATCTCCAGCACTGAAAGTCGAGTTCTCGGTTATATCTAACACATTTTACCGAGAACTCTGCTTTCAGTGCAAAGTACATATATGTGGGACTAAATGCATTATGTAAGAATTGAATCTGCCCATTATAGACCTTTCTTTTGGCTTCAAATGTTATATGAATTATTAAGTCGATATTTATTCACATGACAAATCCACATCAACTGTGTATCCTGCTAGAACAGTACAAAACACTACATAAACATTAAGAATAACGCAACTGACATGATTTGAATCGAGTTGTGAGTTTGTGATGAGTTGTGTCTGCCGTTAATAAGATTTGTGTTTTCCAGACAATAACAAAAGAGATAATAGAGATTTGGATTCTGGAAATATATGAATGAGTATTGGATGACATGTTCCTTGAAATATGAAACTGTAATTAGATTTATATGTTTTTTTCCCATATTTATTTCCTTTGGGTTTGAATAGTAGCCTACATATTTCTTTTACGTAGATAAGAGGCGAAACCGAAAAACACAGAGTAATTTAATAAGTTTGGATCGAATTATGACCATTCGCCAGAATGGAAATGTATTTACAAGACACCGAAGAAGACAAACGACAGCAGGTAATATAAACCACACTACTGCTGTGATGCAATTTAACCCCAACTATGACGTAGTAATTGCCAAGTGTCCAGAACAGCAACTTAAAGAGCTTCCAAGACGTCACCTGAAATTAACAAGGTAAGACTCGAGAATGTGTTTCATAACGGAAGGTTAACACTTGGAAACCGTCCAGAAATATAGAATTCCATCGGAATCGAAACTTAACCAAAGTGATACTTGTCTAAGCCGGCTATTACTAGTCTGAACATTAGTGTTTTTAAACTTTAGAATAATTAGATCGACTCTATCATTAAAGACTCCATCCGCAGTATCAAAGGAGTTTACGGAAATCGAGGGGCTTTTAGGACACCTTAATTGTGTGTCAGATGTTAATCTTGTAGCATATGATTTGTTTTGGTTCATTACAATTGGCGCCCGAACAAATAACATACACGACGCTTTTACTGATTTTAAATTGTTCATTATATCTCAAATATTAGGATCTCATACTTTCACGGCAAGATAATAACATCAATATTGACTGAAATAGACCAATATTGAATTTTAATTCGTGTTTGTAATTTCGAATTTTATGGAAAATATGGAATAATGGTGTTTCGATCTCTGTTATTGCGAAACACTAATGAACATAATATTAGAGTTGTTGTTGGTATTTCAAACGGCCAAATCTTTATTTAGAATAAAATGTAAGTATATATCATAGACATGATATTGGAATACATTTAAAAAATCACACTTACTTGATTCTTCATCCCCAATTACAACCGATCTTATTTCTTAAACCAAGTCTGCTCCCACTTTCAGTCTGTTGGGCCATGGAGCTTTTGGAGAAGTGTATCGAGGAACATTAGCAACTGGGTGTCAATTTACCGAAATTCTGAAAGTGGCTGTGAAGGTAAGATATCGTTTAATGGAAAGACACGTGATCCTCATAATGAATGGTAGTTCAGACATTTGGTTGTTTCTTACATTTATTAGAAAAAAACACAAACGTCTAAACACCAAACAAGGTTATTTAAATAAACCTATCTCGAAATTCAAGAAAAATAAAATCATAATGTACACTGTAAGAAATAATTCTGTTAGAAAATGTTCTGGCAGCTGGTTTACCAGAATTTTTTTTCTGTTTCTTTTATTCTGTTTTTTAACAGGGAATATGCAGAGAAAAAATCTGGTAAACCATCTGCCAGAACTTTTTCTGTTGGTTTACAGAATTATTCCCTGTTAAATTAGGACTTCTGCCAGAAGATTTTCTGTTCTTTAACATAATTATGTTGGTTAAATATAAAACAAAATCATTGTAAATAATAATTTATTGTCTGTAAATGTAATTTTTCAGTCATGCATGTACAAAAATATTAAAAATGAACAGAAATTTAGAACAAGAAATCATGAATGGCTTCAAATTTTGTGATTTCTGAAGGCAAGGTTTACTACTTTCTGTCGTCTTTTTGTCTTCTTGCAAATTTTGTTACCTTCAATACAAACCTGAAATAAAATGATGAAGCGCATACAGGACATGAAATCGAAAGGTGTTAAATGTCATGGGCAAGTTGCAAAATAAGCACGGGTAGCTTTCTTGGCTAATGGTTAATAATCCAGCATCATATTCTCTGAACCATCGCGTTTCTTACACTTTAATATTGTTTACATGGTCGATTTCAAATTCACAATACAACATACATTTGCATGGCCACTATGTGTATTGATCATAGATTCTAAACATAAAAAAGGAGCAAACTGAACAGACAGTACAGAGGCTGTGTCTTTAAAATCAATAACATACTCAGTATCTACCTATGTTGTAAATTTGCCTTCACACTTACATATTATTAGGAAGACTTACCTTTACATCCTATTGTTGGTTTTCCCCTGTTCTTTATTCTTTATGGTCAGCACACTTTCAAACATTCACCGCCATAAGTTAAGTCTGCGACGCGCATGCGTTAACCAAATCCAACAGTATAACTTTGTGAATTAACAGAAAAATGCCCTTAATATACAAGTTATTCTGGAATATTGCAGGTCTTTTGATTAATGATAAGATTTATATAGTTAATAAACAGATTCTTTCAGGTTATATACTGAAAAGTGTGTAAAAATACAGACGTTTCTGTCCAAAAACAGAAATGCAACCAAAACAACTAATTTTATTGTAAAAATACGATTTTTTTTACCTCAAATCACAGATATTTCTGTGATACTACGGATAATTTCCTTCAAATAACAAAAATAGGAATATTAAAAATAGATATTTGTTTACAGAGTATCAGGTTCAAAGCTTACAAAGACTGGGAATTTAAGAATATAAATTCAAACGCTTAGAGCTAAAAGTGCGAAAAAATGTAGTGAGCACCGTAAGATCATCCCCAACATCACGACACTTAGTTTCACCCAATAAATCAAAACGATTAGACGTGGAAAATATGTGTGGATTACTGGTGTTTCGGCGTACTCTTTATAACAAAGCAGCAGTATTCTAAACATAACACATTTTTTTATGGGGGATGAATCACTGGTTTCATTCTCAAAGTATCCCCTTATCCATAAGAGTAATTACTCTTTTCGCTGATACTTTCAAATTGTGTTTTAGAGATGTATTTTTTTAAAATCTGTTGGATTTGTTTGGCTGTTATAATAGAAAGTGTGGAACAACTGTTACTGTTGCCTTTATTAGTTAGTTTTTAATGAAATCGGCTTTCAGAAAAAAAAGTAATTTCCTTTCGAATATTGCACTCGACAATAAAGATCATGTCAATATACACAGAACTTTATATTAAACTTCAAACATTAGCTATTAGATTTATTTTTGATTTTTATTATTTTATTCGGAACATTAAGTCGAATCCTATGTTGTTTTAACACATACATACACAATTCGCTTCAGTTCCCTTCGTCTTTTTTGGGATTACTTACGGAAAATGAACATTTCTGATTTCAACAATTGATATACGGGATCAAGTGTTATAGCCTATAAGTCTGAACGATAGAATATTGCTCTCTAGATCGATCTCTATTCTCTTTTAAATGAATTCTTTCAACTTGATTATGTTAATAATAAAATACACGGCGCTGTCAATTTTACGACCAAGTACATTATAGGCGACGTTTTGATGGAAGAATGTATATCTATTAATACATGAAAGAAGTCTGTGTGATCACCACGTGTTCAGTCTTATGTATTAAGGGCGTTGAGTAGTCTAAGATACGCACTAACTTTTCAACACCAATCTTATTAAGGCTTTGCTGACTTGTTCCAAGTGTAAAATGACCCAGAGGACACATAACAGTCTGACCGTTTGTGTACTAATGCCATGGAGGTAAAAGCCGAAAAAAAAACTATTTATAGCAATTGAGAAGGTTTCCCCGACCTATATCAGTTCTTGAATAAACTATGACGTCGTATACACCGTTCACGTCATCCGCTGTAAACAACCATGGCCGTGTCCAGCAGTTGTTTCACACTGGATCATTCATGTCTATCTAGGTATGACGGCAGAAGGAATTCCTTCTAAGACGCGATTATCCAGGTCTACCAACTATCGCGATTGGAACGTAGCGGAATATCATTTTTTGATGGCCGAAGACTGCTATTTTTGAATGTATAAAATGATTTTTAGAGCGGCCGAGTAGTGCACTGAAGTAAATATTTACTTTTTACGTCCGAATTGTTGTATTTTAAAACTTGTTGTGGACGTATTCAAAGAATTAACCCAAAGTCATAAAATCCCGTTTGAAGGTAAATAATGAGAACGTTTTTAAAATACTTTGAGTTGATATTGTCCATCGTTTTAGGTATCGAAATGTAGCTTATAACCTCTACTTCCCATCTACTGGTGTGATTATCGATATCTCTTTTTAGCATGTACTAATAGAATTTGACTTTTATTGTCATCGGCACCTTTATTATCATGCTTTTGGGCCAAGTTTGGAACATAGTTGGTAAAAAAAATTGGTTGGTGATTAATATGTAGTTTACCACCCAAAATAACAAAAAATGTCATATCTTATCAACAAAGATTAATTACAGTGCTAGCTTTAAAGTGTGCATTTTAGACTGTTCAACGCCCTTAACTAGGAAAATAATTCATACTAATTTATTTAATCCATAATTAATTTTTATTGAAAAATGTTTGCAATAATAAACTTCCTCTTACTGAAGTTATTTCAGATAAACCCCCGAACAATGTTCAAATTTAGTCAAATCCTTTGGGTGTTTTTTTTTCTTCCGACATGGACTGACACAATATTTGACCCCGAACAACTAATACCATCTTACCCCAAATGGCTACAACGAACAACTAATACTATCTTACCCCAAATGTCTACATTCACTCTTGATGAAATTATACAATGGATGGCCCCTAAAATAGAGGAGTCCGTACCCTTAAGTAGACTGAATCACCATAGCTAAAATATTGTAGCCTCATCTCTAATACAATTTATCTCTGGTTTCTGGGTTAGACCCCGTTGTTGGCCGAGAATATTCCCCGGAATTTACACTGGCATTACCCCAATAGCAAAGAGAAGCGTCTAGTGGATTAAATGGGACGAAAACCCGAGGCCCCGTGTACACGTTGACATACACGTAATAATTTCGCCATGTAGTGTACTATGAATAAATTTGCCATTTAGACTGCTCAGCGGCGCTACGGTCGGTCCACTCTTATGTCGATTTCCACTATCTGGATATCTTTAATGTGCGACCAATTCAAAACACAGGAATTTGATATCAAATCAAGTGAATGGATCTGGGGGCCAACCATAAGTGACCACTGCGCTGTATATAGTCCCGGGCCTGAAAAATATCAATTTATCACGTCTTATTCCACGCAAATATATACTTAGATTGATTATGTAACATTTGATTAAGAAAACAAAATATCAACGCTAGATAAGTACCCGGCTTGAATTAAATATTTAAAATAGGCCCATCAATTACATATCGCGAAATATAGAGATGGTGGTGGTTTTTTTTTGGTTTTTTTTGTGCATAGGGAGCATCATACCTGTGTAAGGACTGATATTCCTATAATAGATTCAGCTTTTGAAATATTGTAGTTTGAAAGCGATTCCTGTATCACTCAAATAACACTCGATGACTTTTAACAGCATTCATCGTAAGAATAAGAACAATTTCACTATATATGCATACTGCCCAGTAACTATTAGAGTTGTTGACCCTTATTGTGTGGAAAAATGTTTTAAGAGATAACACCAATCTCCGTTATGGGAATTACCTATAGACTACTTGTCAATTGATGTTTGGAAGCATTCAATTTGATTTTAACCTTTAGAGAATATATTAACGGAAATAATTAGGCTTTGTACTACCGTTATATTCGAAAGGCTAAACATGTTTAGATGGCTGTGTGCATGCTTACAACCATTTGATTGTTTTCAGACAAAAGTAAATGAAACAAACATATGTGTAGTCAGCAGAGGCTTCGTTTTTGTAAAAAATACATCAAACCCTTTGAACAACAAAGACACCACCCATGATGATCTGAGCAGATCGACCTATTGTTTTTAGAACCACTGTCATTGATTAATAAACATATGATAACATTTGATCAAAATGGTGAAATTTTCATAGAAAGTTCTTTAATCGATAGTTTATGAATAGAACAAATTTACAAAACATTGTCTAAAAGAATTTCATAATGGCATGTTTCAACATTAAAGGACATACAGATCGCTGCCGCATGTTTGTTCTAATATTATTCATATATTCCCTATCGGTTTTGTTAGCTTCGGTGAGTCAGTGAATAAGACGTTTGATTCGCTAACCTGGCTACCACCAAGACAGTTTATCGAGAAAGTTCATTTACCGCATAACACATGGCATGGCGCATGTCTGTCTTTATTAGCCTTGTTGGTGCAGAACCGTAGGTC